GCTGTATAGGTCATCAAATTAACCTTTCACTTGTGTCTTCCTCATTGTCACCCACTGCTCCTGTGAGCACAAAGTTCAAATCCACTTCTGCTCCCCGTCCTTTTCCTGTTTTAAACATATCAAACAGATGGGTGCAACCAGCCTAAACCAGCCTCCTCTATCACTGGTCTCTGTGAAAATTAAAACAGATGATGGAAAATTATTAGTGGCATCCGTGGAGAAAACAGACGAAAATACCAGAGACCAGATGCTCAGCACACTCTCCGCTTGACGGACAGTCCCTCCCCTCCCTCTGCGCCTCCCTGAGGTGCAAAACGAAGGAGGAGGCAAAATCAGCACTGTTTCGACTGAAGAGACAAAAGATATAAAAGAAGAAAACCTGACTTTAACAAATCTTTTGTCCTACTTTTCCCCTAATTTCAGTCGTGTGTTAGTTAGTATACACACACCCACACACACACACATCTGGACTCCACCGGCACCTGAGCCCCACTGTTTGGGCCACACAGTACAGTGAGCTTTTGTAGTTGTGCAGCGGAGCACACAGAGGTCACGGCTGCTGCTGCAGCATCTGTGWCTGAACTCTCTCCACCCAAACTCTGCTTTCACAGCTGGGGCTCCCTGAGCTAAAAGAGACTCGGTGACACAGTCAGAAAGCAACGATAAATGATAACAACAGGGTCGCTCTGCAGCAAATACTGGGGAGAAAGACAGATATGCAGGGAAGGAACAGATGAACAAGAGAGTAAACAGGTCCTCCTATCATGAAACATGAAAACGACTCGGACTATATTTGGACACGAAATGAAAAGCTTTAATTAGATTCAACAATAGAGGTTGAAAATTTCATTTTGAGCTGGCTAATACAAGTTGCCAGCAATTAAATCTGTTCAGCGCTGTTGTTAACCTGCATGAACAGATTACAGTGCTTCAGCGTCTCAGGCGGGAGTTTGAAAGTTTGTTGGGGGAAGTAATCTAGGCCACAGGCAGGACTGTTTGTTGGCCCGCTCTGTGAGGACGGAGGGGGGGGAGGCAGCAGACGGGGCGCTCTGCTGCCAGACGCGCAGAGCAGGATGATTGGAGTCGGGACAGAGAGATTTTTGGTGGCTGTTGCAACATGATTTACATTTTTCTGACTGTAGCTGTGTTGAGAGTTTCTGGGTTTGGGAAGCAATCATGTACAGTAGATTGGAACATGTTATTTGTTTTATTTTTAGAGCTGAAAATTTGTGTGACGTTCAAGGCAGAGATAGGTCCAGATACTCTTTATTACACAGAAATGCATGCACCAGTCTCCTTCTCCCGTTTGTTTCTTTTAATCATAAATAAGTTTACCACTGCATCAAGAGTCCCATGGCATCACCAAAAACTGTTGTGATGGGCCCACATCCTCTCAGGAAACAGTCGACATTTAATCAGTTAACAAAAAATACAGGGTCAAGAGACTAGAAAAGGACATGCTTTCTCAAGACTTTCAACCAAAAGATTAATGTCTGATTCTTCAGTGAAACATCCCCATTTCCCCTTTTTATGTCTTTATTGCCAATTATATAGGCTAAATAAAATAAAATAAAAAACAAGTGGAGAAGAAAAATATGTGTTTTGTTATGTGCAAAAATTAGGACAAAAACTGGAATATGTGTTTCTTATGGAGAAGCTGTGTTGGTGCCACTGCCAAAGACTCACGATTATAAAACAGGATGATTTGCTGGACTCATATATAATTTAAAAAAGGACAATTTTGTTTCATGGTAGAAACTTCGCAGTAGGAACTTGCTGCTTTAAACTCACAAAAAAGAAAAGAAATGTAGAGCTGAAGAAACAAGACAACATCACTGTGACAAAATCTGTGACAGAGAAACAGATGTTCTGAATGAAAAACATCAATTCAAAGCACATAAACTTTGAAGAAGTCATTCTCATTTCTTATAGTTCTGTGACAGCATGCAGTCTGCTGGTGTCACTGACTAATGTCTCCTTAGTCTCTCAGTAAAGTTCTGTGCTTTTGGCTTCAACAGAGGTTGRCATATGTTCAGACAGGACACATGGTGAGACAGAGGAAGACCCAAAGAAGAGCCTAAACTGGGAGGAGGCAGACATCTATTACTAATACGAGTCAGAAAGAAACCACAAAGTTCTGTCAAATAATAGGAAAACAGAAACATAATAAAGAAGCACAACGTTGGATTGGGCTAAGAATCTGACAAGAGACTAAAAAACACATATCCTAAACAGGGATTAAAATTATCAGCAAAACATTGCAAATCATAGTTTGAAATAAAGATCTTGTGATCTATAATTCAATTCAATTCAATTCAATTCAAAAATATTTTATTGATCCCAGAGAGAAATTAGGTAAGTAAATAGTAAATATTAGGTAAATAGTCTCAGTAGAGTGTGTTGGGGAGAACACTCAGCTCCACCAGACCAAATTTTGATTAAGTATCTGAAGAAAAATGACAGTTTTAGACATTTAGTGTTTGCTAAAGTCAGAAGAGCAAAAATATAATTTTTTCTGAGTTCTGACTTTATTCTTAGAATTCTGAGGGAAAAAATGTAAATTCTGACTTCTTGGAGTTCTGAGAAAAAAAGTCAGAAGGTAAAAATATTATTTTTTGCTCCCTAATCCTCTTCCATAGTTACCTTGGTTAAGTTTTCTTTTAAAAGCTAGTTTCATTAAAATCTGTCCAGTGGTTGATGGGGTATTTTGCTAACTAAAAGACAGACATCCCCCCCCCCCACACACACACACAAATACACACAAACACACAAATACACACAAACACACAAATACACACAAGCAATTGCATGACTGCCTGCCTTTTATGGCAGCAAAAGATAATTATCAACTTAACTGTTAGAATTTGCTTTAGGCGTTATTTGATTATTTAAAAAAAAGACCATATCAGACCATTCAGGGCTGAAACCTCAGGTGTTTTCTGTCAGTGGTTAGTCACTGGGTGCATGCATGTGTGCTGTGCCGTATGACTAACCTCATTAATTCATTGATGCACACTGTTGAATAACAACATGGGGTGTTGGATGAATGATCTTTTTGGGTAAGGTCAGAGGGAGCAAATAAAGATCTGGGTTGTGAACAAGCTCAATGAGAACAAGGGCATGCTGGGTATAWACTACATTAAATATGACTCACAACATCTCTTGCCAAAATATGAYATTCTTTGAGTTGTTTTGTGACGATCCTGCGTGAATATTTATTTCAGCATTTAGTTTTGAATGGAAACTCATGTAGGGCTCCAGCTGCACAGAAGTAAAGGTAATGATRTCTAATTTATCTTGGGATAAGTAATTTGTCCTGAAATATCTGCTAATATTTGTTCATTTAAATGTTTTTGGGTTGGATATCAGCATAGCCTTTTTGAAGATATTCATATATTTTGAARGTTATGAATAAATAATTTCTAACCATAGAATGCTATTTGAATAACAACTTTCAGGAAAAATACAATTAGTTTCTGACCGTACTGATGAGCTGACAGCTGGTCCGCCGGGGCCAAGTTTCTGACGTCAACTTTAGTTTCAAAAAATGCCAAAGCAGTTCATGAAAATACTACTTATGGACTGACATGGCCTGTTAATTTWATGGTATTTTAAAACACAAGTGCAACATTTTTATTGGGGGAAAAACTAACGTGTCAATATGTTGTGTAAAACAAACAATATGATTTGCCAATCCTTATCCACCTATATTTAATTGAATATATCTCAAAGAATAAACTGTATTTTTCTTATTTATTTTATATTCACTCATTTTGAATTTTATACCATGTTCMAAAAACGCTGACAGGGCCAACATAAGACTGAAAAAGTTGAGGAATACTCAAACAACTGTTGTTTCATGATTGGGTGTAAAGGGAGCATCCCTGAAAGGCTCAGTCTTTCACAAGTAAGGTTGGGGAGAGGTTCATCACTTTGTGGACAACTGCATGAGTAAATAGTCCAAAGATTTAAGAATAACATAATGTATAATTGCAAGGAATTTAGGGATTTTATCACCTGTAGTCCATAAAATCATCAAAAGATTCAGAGAATCTGGATGAAACTCTGCAAGTAAACATCAAGGCCGAAACYAAAACTGAATGAACATCAAACAAGAATGGGCAAGATGTCCACAGTAACCAAACGTTTATTGAGTGTCAATTTAAAAAATCAATAAAGTTTATCCATTTGAACATTAAATATCTTCTTTTTGTAATGTATTCAATTKAAATTGACAAGGATTTGCAAATTATTGTTTGTTTTACACAACATCCCAACTTCATTGGAAATGGGGTTGTATTTGTTCAAAACTTTTTTTCACAAAATCCCACTTTAAAATATTTGAACTGTAATTTATTTTAATCTTTTCTCATCTAAAAAATAATTCACTAAATGCTTTCAGCAAACCAGCAAATTATATTTTTGCTTCACTTTCAATGAAAAAAAAAACACAAACTCCTGCAAAATATGCAGAAAACAGGCGCCACTGCATCTGCAGGATAAAAAAAACCTCTGGAAAATCACAATCTACTCCAGCTCGACACCGACTCATCTGACAGTGACACTGTTCAYATTTGGTGAAGGAGCTCAAGGCCACGGAGCCGCAGTCAGAGGAAAAGTTCCAGCTCAGAGAGTAGAACGGAGTTAAGACTAATAAAAGCGTGAACAAATTCAAACAAGCCCACACACTGTCATCGTTCCACCTGCCCTCCGCTCCCCTCTGCACACAGCCTGCAATAAAACAGCAATCGGCTCCAATCACACGCGTGCACTACATCAACAGATAGATTAAAACATTGACTGATGGAGGCTGCACCTTTGGCTGAAATCAATAGCAGCTTATACACACAGCAGGTATGAAGCTAATAACAAATAACGCTGCATTTATTGGAAAACTGAGATGCAGCCGTCGAGTTAGAGAAAAAGGAGCTGCAGCGAACAACGTGTGATTATCTCTGAGTRCGTATGCTTGTGTGTGTGCACGGGGGGCTCACACTCACCCAKAAGTGGTGTTGCAGGCCCTCTTCGTGGCTGCCCGGGAGCGGCTTGACTTCAACTCTCCACTCATGCTCATGTCTGCATGAAAGAGCAACCAATTAACTTTGTGCTGATACAGGAAAGAGCAACAAAACACAAGAAAGGAAGTGGTGAAAACAAACAAGCACGCTCAGATGACTGTCTCACTTGCACTCTGTGCCGTATTCCATCTATTTGGTTTGTCTTTATTTCCGTGAAATGGATAAAAAAATTATTGCACGAGCCTGCAATACTTTACATCGTGCTCCATCTGAAACTTTCTACCTCAGTRACTGCTTCGACTTTCCTGCGGCACTCACCTACACACGTGCTCCGAACAGCTAATTATTAAAAATCACCTTGATTAGAGTGCGTGCCAACAGTTTATTGTTAACACCGCGGTTGTGTGGTGTCGATTTGCCCAAAGAGAGAGAAGGGGG